ATGCTCACAATCACATAATGAATTAGATACTTCACCAACTTACCATCAAGGTTCATACAAAGTATCAAACAATTAACTATTACAACGAAAGCCAATCAACTTGAGAATAATGAAATTATTCTAAAGCCTATCAAGTAACTTGCTATTATGGCAAAAGTCAATTTAGTTGAGAACAATGAAATTACCATAACATAATAAAGCTAACTAGGAACTCTATAATGAAAAGGCAGTCATGGCACTATAAATGGCTCTTAATTGTATAACCTTATGAGCAATAAAAAAAACCATCTTTTGCCAAGCATTAAAAAACATAATCTATCTCCAAAAGTAACATTAGAACACTTGTGGCTAGTATCAAGAGCTTGGGAGCAATTTATGACACAGTTTGATGCTTCCACCATTCCAGTGGATTGCGTGGTTCTTATGGTTCATGGAGTGCGTACACACGTTGTGGCTACTGTGACGAGTGGTTCGAGCTTCCCCCATTCTCGCGACTGTCCGGTGTGAGAGCTCTCTCTTTCGCTGACAACACTGTGTGGGAGTTGAGATTCGGGGTATTTTCTAGCGCTGGCTCCCTCTACTTCTGTGTCGCGCTGTCCACGTGCCTGATGTGATCCGGGCGAGCCACTGGCACCTTATATGGGCGAGCTTCCCTGCGAGCAGCGAGAGAATGGGGAGGTGAAGTGCTTGGCTGTGCTCTGTGGCTCCTTGGTTGCCGGGTACGTGTGCACCGGTAGCTTCGAGCTCTTTGCCTGGGACGCAGCCGACAGGAGGTGGAGCTTCTGCCACGGACAGGAGACAGGGTCGACTCGCGTGCCAGAGCTAGTCGCACTCGACGACACGGGGATTCTTGTGTTTGAGCAGGACCATCTCCTCCTCTTCTCTGCTCTCGACTGCCTGCCTGTGAGAGTGGAGTCTCCAGCTTCCTTGTTCCATCCACGAGGACGCGGCGAGGCGATCGACGCTCTACGATGGCTCCAAGGTGATGGAATTGGAGTTGGACGGGTTGAGGCTCGAGCCGAGGAGTGAGAACCAGGTCGAACTCCGGAAGCATCCAGGTTTACAGCGGGATTGCTGGTAGGGTGTCCAGCTTTGGAAGCGACCTCACCACCCAGCTACTCCACTTGTTGCGTGGTGGAGTTGTGACGGAGCGCGAGTGCCCGGTGTCTAAAGTTGGTGTTGGAGGGTGTTACGGTGATCTGGGGGTGGACGACATGCCGTACGAGTCTCGATTTTGCCAAGCTGATCGTCTCACCTACAAGTTACTCTCGACGTAGCTCTCCTGGTAAGAGGCTATACCCTCTTTTGTCACCAAATGTCTTGGATTGTGGTTGTTTCAGCAATCTGAGCTGCTGGTGTCAAGCGGCTGCGAGTGATCAGAGAACAACATAGATCACGAGGAAAACAATCTGTGTTCTGTGCTCTTTTGACTTGCAGAGGCTGAAACCTTATGTGCTAGCATCTTGCACTGTAACCTGCACACATGTACTTTAGTTTTCATTTTTCCATCAATTTAAATCATCAATCAGCTTCATTTCAACCATTAGGTTCTTCCAAGGCTGATGGTCGTGGACTTTGAATTTAAAGCACTTTGCTGCATTGTTAAGACAATTCGACGTGCCTTTTATGAAGATGCTATGGAATGGAGGCAAGCTTCCAAGAAGTGGGACTTTGAAAGTAGGGAGCGCTGCCTTTTGCAAACAACAAGATTTGATTGAGAGGCTTTTATACATTCATTTCACCAAATTAGTTTCGTTTGTTCTTGCTCATACAGGGGAGCTTTTGGAAAGCAAAGACGCAATACAGGGGGAAATCCTCTGCCTTCGTGGCTGTGAGCCCGCCAACCTTCCTGCCCAGCCTGTGCTTGCCAGCACTGGAGGGCGCGGTCAATGACTGCCCTGAGTACATTGTGTTTTTTGATGCGTGGGAGAAGCTTGCAAGGGAGTATGGTCTGGAGCTGGTCATGCATGCCAATTACCAAGAATTTGCAAGAATTACCAAGTCGTATTCGTTGCCAAACACCAGCTCTTTGTTCACGGGTTTCTTCAAGCTGTACACTGTTGGACACCCCTCCTTAGCTTGTCCAAAACCACCCGCGAGTCCACGGTGGTGCCTACAAGCCATCCGCCCCGCTTTAGCGAGGACGAGATGTTGTACAGGGCTGTACGTGCAGTAGCCTCGTTGGATGCATAATGTATTGCACGCTGGCAGCTGCAAGCGTCATACGGTCCCTCCGCTGTGACATCTTGAGGCAAACGTGACGAGAAACAATCGTACTCCACAAACTTGGCTGTCATAGCTCTTAGGGCTTGAGCTCTCGCCTCGGCCTCCCTGATTTTTTCATGGAGAAGTCCACCCCCAAATATTTGTGCACTCCTAGTCCATCCAGCTTGAAGATGTCGCCTCCTCTACCGCAAGCCAGATCCAAGACCCGACCACCACCGCCACCAATAAAGTCTGACAAAAGACACTGTTTTACTGCATTGTCAAGTTCCTGGAGGCGAATCACGCGACTCTTTGTGCGCTCGTCCCTTGTCTCCGAAAATCATTCACTTTAATTCTTTAACCCTAAACCCTAAACCAGATACAATCCTTTCAGCGCCAGCAGTCTTTTTGACAGCGATTAATCACGGACGAAATGACCTAACATAACTTTCCTTTCCGCAAGAGTTATATATAAGGGAACGAACCTTTTTCTCCCAATGGCTGAGATCAAAGATCCTGTTAGATTCTTTGATCTCAGTACATTACCGATCTGGTTCACCTCCATTCGAATTCGTTGTGATTGTGAGAGACAGTCCAGTAGTCAAAAGAGGCACCTATGCAAGATTGTTATTGGTGAATCCATATTTTCCATGCATCGCATCACTTTGGACTATAGACTTCTTCACAAAAACTGGAATCTCGGTCAATGTGAAAAGATATAGCTTTCACTTGATCCTTTGTCGCTTATAACAAGCTTTCCACTGACGTGTTCTATAAAAAGCTTGCCAGATATTTTTCTCCAAGATTAATTTGCCTTTACAGGGCACCTAAATTGTTGGTTTTTGTCACAAAACCAACAAGTTGTTGTGGATTAACCTCCAAAGGTTTTCTTTGGTTGATTAAACAATTTCTAAGTTGTTTAATTCAACTCGATTAATATATTGGTCTTTTTTTGTTATGAATTGCATTAGGCTACTAACTGACACAAAAACTGGAATTAAACTAGCTGATTTGTTAAATAGTTTAGGGCTGGCCTTTAATTTGTAAGACATAGTGTTGCAAGGGGTGGTATCAACCAGTGTCACCACTATACAAACTTAAGACATTTCTTTTAAAAAATTGCTTATTACCTTGTACACTTTTTGATTCACAGAACTATTTAGCCAACCAACATGAACTAATAGTCCAAAAAATATAAAACACCCTTTGGGAGGTTGGTTTGTGACAAAAAAATTGTAGTTGTGCAACTTATCACAATTGGTCCTCTTCTTTCCCTCTCACGCCTTCCACCGCCTCCCGGTATTTCCTAAAGTAACTTCTTCCACACGATTTTCTCAAATTAAGTGTTTAAATATCAAATATAAGTTATCCTATATGTGCAAAATATGTGTAAATATACTCAGATTGAGTCTATTAGACTTCCAAGGAAGCATTGTTTCTTACATGAGCCACGTACTTCCATGCCAGAAATTGGTAATGCTGTGGCACAATTTAATCTTGTTGACTACAATGTTTTAGGTCTTTTCTTAGATTCTTTAAGAAGATGCAACTTCCAGTAATGGTGAGCGCGTATGGGTGTTGATAATGACACAAAAGCCCTGTTGGAGACCATCCGGAGCAAAATGTGATGCCATGATTCAATATTACCTGCAAAATGGGCATCTTTTCGGCTGAAAGGCCTCAAAGCTGACCAGATCTCTATTTCTGGGATTTAGTCACTGTGGATGAGTGACATCAAATGGCATTTGATGAACAGGCCTTTTACCTCACCAAAATGTACTAAGCTAAAATCCATCGACACACTTTTGTGTTGCAGAATTAAAGAAGTTCTTTAAATATGCCAGAGCTTACTGAACTGCCATGGTTTTTGTCTACGCCCAGAATGGCCACCTCAAGCAAGCTCTTGGGAATTTGAATCCATGGTCACTTGGAACTCGCTCCTCGTGTTTTTTCTCGTCTTAAAACCTGAGCTTGTGTTGGCCAAAAAGGACTCTGTGGTGTGGAACACCATGCTTGCTGCAAAGAGTCTGTTCGATTGATTACCAGAGCTAAACCTTGTTTCTTGGAATGGAGGCGATAGTTTATGCTTTAAAATTTATTTTGACTTCTATTTATGTGAAGGATATTAAGTGGACTTATTTTTGATTTTGTCAGATCTTTTATTAGCTAATAACTTTATTATTTGACAATACTTTATAAAAAAACAATGGAGATGCGCGACTAAGATCACGAAGGAGTGGCTTTTCCTCACTGTCATCTCAGCGATGCGGCAAAGAGAGTGATCGTCTCTAATTGTTAAGAGTCATGTTCACTTAGTTCTGGTTGAGTCTTAAGAGTAGGTACAACTAAATCGATTGAACAAACTCTTGGCCTGGAAGAATCCCCGACACTTTGCATAAGCCGCAAGCATGGTAGACTCCGAAATCCAAGAGCTTGCCCGAGGTGGCATTATGGGCGTAGTATAAGTTAGCTCTGGCATACTTGCAAAGAACCGGCTAGCTTCTTAATTCCGCGTACGCGCGTTGCGTGTAGCATGCTCGGCGATAAGACCAGGTCACCACATGGCATTCGATTGAACAGGCCCTTCGCCTCTTCCAGATGAAGAGTCCAGTCAACACAACATGGTTCCAAGCCATGGTTTGGCATCGCATCGAAGATTCTCTTTGACGCTTGCGAAAACTTCTTTTGCTTCGTCCAAGCCCCCCAGACAACAAAACATATTCCACAAGATTAAGTTGTGCTTTGGCATGTCGTCACTGAATACGTTCTTTGTCTTGTGCCAGTGACCGGTTACTCTACCTGAAGGGAATGCTCGCAGTTAAATTCCTGGCATCCTTTTCTCGTCCAGCCCTGTCCAGGAGATCCACCATGCAGCAGTATTGTTGCAACACTGGCTCCAATCCATCATCACTTTGCATCGAAAGGAAGCATCTCAAAGCGTCCTCCATCTTTCCGCCGTGACTAAATCCCAGAAGCAAGCACGTAAAAGAGATCTGGTCGGATTTGAGTCCTTGCAGCCGCATTTCTTGAAAGAGCTCGCTTGCCAGGTCACGCCTCCCACCTTGACTATATCCTGCTAGCATGGCATTCCACGGCACCACGTCATGCTCGGGCATCTCGTCCAAAACTCTCCTGGCCTTGTCAAGATGCCCGTTTTGTGCGTAACAAGCAAGAATAGCGGTACAAGGCATCACATTTCGTTCCGGAATGCTCTCCAACAGAGCTTTCGCGTCGTCAAGAAATCCCAACCGTCCATACGCGCTCACCATTACTGTCCAGGAGATCAAGTTTCGTTCCTCCATCTTCTCAAAGAGCTTCCTCGCGGAAAACAGATGCCCCAGTTGAGAAAACACCTCCAGCATTGTAGTCGACGAGATTAAATCGTGTCGCGGCATCGAGTCATAGATTTGAGACGCACGCTGCAAATCTCCGGCCTGGAAGTACGCGGCAAGCATCGTGTTCCAAGAAGCAATGCTCCATTCGGGCATCTTCCAAAAGCATCTCTCAAACTCCAGAAGATTCCCGCTGTGGGCATATGCTGCAAGCATCGCGTTCCAGGTGACTAGATCCCTCCGCGGCATTGCCGTAAATACTTGCCACGCGTCTTCCGAGGCATTGTTCTGAGAATATCCACACAGCAAGGCTGTCCAGCTCACCATGTCCCATTCGGGCATGCCACCAAACAGATTCTTCGCCAAGCCCATTTGCCTAGCCTGGGCATACCCTGTCAGCATGCTCGTCCACATCAGCATGTCCCTGTACGGCACGGTTCTAAAAATTTCGGTGGCTCGCGCCAGTTGGCCGTTTTCAGCATATGTCGCCAGCATGGCACCGTACGACACGATATCCTTGTCGGGCATCCTTTGAAAGAGTTCTTGGGCTTCCTCCAGATCCCTAGTTTGGGCATATGCTGAGATCATGATGTTCCACGCGGTTCGGCCTCTCTCGGGCATTCGATCGAAGAGCTCTTGCGCTTGGATCAAACATCCATTCTGCACATACGCCGTGATCATCAAGGACCAGGAGAAGCGATTCTTGAGTCGAATTCCATCGAAGACGGTCCTCGCGCGATCGGGGCTCCCGCATTTCCCATACATCTGGACGAGCAGATTGGAGAGATAGACGCCGAGATGCACTCGATCGCACAGCGAGGAATGCAGCGCTACCGCTTCCGCGAGGCCCCGGCACGATCGAATCAGCTCCTGGGCGTGGAGATCACTCATGAATCAATGGGGATTCTCTGTGCTAGAGTTCTAGGGTTCTTCCTCCTAGGGTTTCTTGTGATCTGGATCGGAGGTGAAATTCTTTCATGTATCGATGGTGATGGCAGCGGCGGGGCTGCTGGCGGCCAGCATTGTGGTGTTCGCGCCGCTCGCCATGGCGGGCTGGCACATCACACGCAACAGGGTCCTCTTCTTCAGCACCATCTTCTTCATCATCCTCGCCGCCGCCGTCCACATTCTTCCCTACGCGCCATCCCTCTCGCGCCTCGTCTCCTCCTTCCACTCCACCATCTCCTCGCTCGTCCTCTCCTCCTCCTCTTCGCCTTCTTCCAATCTCGGCTGCCTCCACTCCCTCTACGCCATCAATTTCTTCGACGATAGCGACGACGAGGAGAAGATCCGCTGGGCCTGGACGAGGAAGAGATCCGCCGCCATCTCTGCCTGCAAGTTCCGAGAGCTCCACAGGGAGGAGGCGCTCGAGTTCCTGTCCGGGACGTGGATTGTCGTGGCTGGCGACTCCCAAGCTCGGTACTTCCTTCTCTCGCTGCTGGAGCTGCTGCTGGAGGATCCGGCGCCATTGAGATCCCAGCTCTTCAAGTTCCACAGTGACTTCTCCCACACCCTGGAAGACGAGCACCTCAGAGTGGATTTCTTCTGGGCTCCATACGCCGCCAACTTAACCAGCAAGCTTCTCGAGCTCCAGCATTCCGGGAATGGATCAGGATCAAGCGCGCGCTCTCGCTCTCCGGACGTGATCATCGCGGGAGCCGGGCTGTGGCACATGTTGCACGTCTCGGATCCATCCGACTACGGCGCCAGCTTGAGAGATTTGGCGGCGGCAGCTCGATCGCTACGCGCGCCACACTTGTTCTGGCTGAATCTTCCGGTGCTGGTGCCCGGGCTTCTCAACACCGCGGCCAAGCGCGAGAAGATGACTGCGCCATTGCTGTCTCGCTACGACGAGGAGCTGGGCAGGAGCAATCTCACGCTCCCCGGCGGGGATTTCAGGGTGTTGGACGTGAAGGAGGTGAGCTCCTTGTGTGGGAGAGGGTGTACGGGCGATGGCATGCACTACGCGAGTGCTGTGTACGGCGCCCTTGTCCAGATAATGCTCCAGACACTTGTGTTGATCAGAACATCTTCGTGATCACGATACAAACGATTTTTTTCCGCTAGTCTTTGGATCAATGTCGGGCCTACAATGAGGATCTCGTAAGAAACTTGTGGCAATCCATCGACACTGTGGTTTCTTGCTGCTCCATCACTGCGATTCCCTGCTGCCCTCCACAGGTCTTCCAAGTTTTTTGTACAGACATTCGCAAGGGAATCAGAGCATCTTGAATGGAATCTCTGTTTCTTTGACCCCACGTTTGAAACAGGGGTGGCGCCACGTTGACTTCAACCGTGGTTGAAGTCGGCTATTAGAGTCTAGTGCGCCTCGGAGCGAAGCCTCACGCAGTTGACATTTGACAATCGCTTCTGTAAATGTTTGTGGCTTGCAGACGTGTTTTTGACTTTTGCTCAAGATCATCAAGGTCAACTGTTTGAGTTTGGTGCCACAGCAAACAAAAGTGCAATCCAACAACACCAGATCAATCCGTCAATTGCGCGGAAAGGAAAAAGAAGATGCAAATCACGTCTCAACCAACATGGTCGGTGTCGTCGACCAAAACCACCGACGGCCAACTTGCCGGCCGCCAATTAGGGTTCATCAACCCATGCGACAATTGTCACGCCCAAATGCCATCTTCCACTATTCTCTTGTTTGCTTACTAAGATTTCTTGCATTTGGACTGGCTTTGCTTGTCCGGGCCTTCTCCATTTTCCTCCTGGAGGTTTGCGCTCTCGTCTTCCACGTAGTGCCTAACCACGCATTATATTAAAATAATCCCGTCATGCAACGCTTCCACGCATCACATTTAGAATAATCCCGTCATGGAACGCTTCCACGTTGTGGCTAACCACGCATTACATTAAAATAATTCCGGGGCATTGTTAAGCACGTCGAGCTACTAAACGAGCGTATCCATACACAACGTGGGCGCACGCCTTACAACACGTGGTTTATGCGCGGGTTATGCTATTTTTAATCGATCGTGCCTCCAAACGTTACCATTTGGACGCCGCTCCAGGGGGTGTTGGAATTGGCCAAATCTAGGTGGGCCACAATTCGCAAGCCCGGCCCTCCACGCGATGTAAAGCAAACAGTGCATGGGACCTGGCCCAAATTTCATGCCATGTCGCACATAGCCGACCTTAGCGAGCGCCAGCCGTCGGATCGACGTGGGCGCGGTAAATCGCCACCGCCGCTGGGAAGGATCCCAGCCGTCAATCGCCGCTCTATTCAACGTATGGGATCATTTATATAGAGAGGGCTTTCTCTCCTTTGCCCATTTCAAATATTTCCCAAGAGGAAGAGGGCCGCCGCCACACGCGCTGCCGCGCAGATTGCTAGCTCTGCTCTGGAGTGAATCGATGTTCTAGCCGCTAGAATCGATCGATCGAGGTACATTTGGCTGCAGGGGTTCTCTAGATTGCGCGGAGGTAGGGTTCTAAAGCAAAGCAAGATCGATGATGCAACGGAAGCCATCGCCGTTTAGCAAGAGGAGGCGACTGGTCATGGCGCTGATGCCGCCGCCTCCCAGTCCCAGCGCGCTCAGCCTCGTCAAGGAGCTCTATAATCTCGCGCAAGAGGTCGGGTTCTACGAGCGGCCGAGGATGATCCAGCAGCGCAATCAGTCCAACATCGTGCGCCGGATCAAGCTCCTCGGCCCTCTGTTCGAGGAGATCAAGGACTGCCATCCAACGCTGCCGCCCTCCGCGGTGTTGGCCTTCCGGGAGCTCCATCTCACGATCCAGAGGGCAAAATTGCTCCTTGACGAGTGCAGGGAAGGAAGCCGGCTATGGTTGCTCATGCAAACACGAAGGGTGTCGGAGCAATTCTACGAGCTCACGCAGGAGATCGCGTCGGAGCTATCCGGGCTCCCTCTTGATCTCTTGGAGATCTCCGTGGAGGTGAAGGAACAGGTGGAGCTGCTTAGATTGCAGTCCAAGCGATCGACGCCCATCTACGAGGCGTCCGACGAGAAGATGCGTGCCGAGGTGTTGGGCATGCTGAGTGAAGTGGAGAGCAAGGAAACGCCCGACGAGGTCAGAGTGAGGAGCTTCTTCGAGAGCCTCCAGATCGACACATGCTCCGAGCTCCAAAGGGAGCTCTATCTTTTGGAGGAGGAGATGGAGAGCTTGTCCACGGGTGGCGACATGGCAGCGCTCATCAGCATCAAGAACTTGATCAGCTTTGGGCGTTACTGCAAGTGCGTGCTCTTCGGCGTGTGCATAGAAGAGACTCTCGAAGTGGAGGCCACCACTGTGGAGGCCAGCAACGACGCAGCGGTACAAGCGACCGGATCCGACGTCCCGGACGAATTCAAATGCCCGATAAGCCTGGAGCTGATGCAAGACCCGGTGATCATCTCGTCAGGCCAGACATACGACCGCGTATCTATCCAGAGGTGGATCGACTCGGGCCACTCGACGTGCCCGAAGAGCGGACAGAAGCTAGCGCACGTCAACGTGATTCCGAATCACGCGCTGAGGAGTCTGATTCGGCAGTGGTGCGAGGATCACAAAGTTCCATACAACTCCCACGCCAGCGGCAACAAGCCAACGCTCTCGGTGGACAATCTCGTGAGCACACGAGCTGCTCTGGAAGCTACAAAGCTCACGGCAGCTTTTCTGGTTGGCAAGCTTGCGTCAGGCCCGCCAGAGGTCCAAAAGCAAGTGGCATACGAGCTCAGGCTGCTGGCCAAATGTGGAACGGACAACCGGGTTTGCATCGCCGAGGCAGGAGCGATCCCGTTCTTGGTGCCGCTGCTTTCATCGCGGGACGCGAAGACGCAGGAGAACGCCATCACGGCCATCCTCAACTTATCCATCTGCGACGCCAACAAGAAGCTCATCGTCTCGGCCGGGGCAGTGGATCCGATCCTGGCGGTGCTCAAGTCGGGCAGCACGGTGGAGTCTCGAGAGAATGCCGCGGCGACGCTGTTCAGCCTGTCCGTGGTGGACGAGTACAAGGTCCTGATCGGCAGCAAGAGCGAAACGTTCACGTCTCTCATCGCGCTGCTGCGAGAAGGGAGCAGCGCGCGGGGGAAGCGCGATGCCGCGACCGCGCTCTTCAACTTGGCAGTGTACCACGGCAACAAAGGCAGGATCATCGCGGCTGGCGCGGTGCCTTTGCTGGTGGAGCTACTCACCGAGGACGCGGACATCACCGACGACGCGCTGGCGGTGTTAGCTCTACTGGCCAGCTCCTCCGAGGGACTCCTGGCACTAAGTGGAACAGGGGCGATTCCTCTGCTGGTGGGACTGCTGAGGATGGGATCGTCCAAAGGGAAGGAGAACTCCACCGCGGTTCTCCTGGCGCTGTGCCGGAGTGGCAGTGACACCATCGTCAACCAGCTGCTCAAGATCTCGGCCACCGTCCCGGCGCTCTACAATCTCATCACGGTTGGGACGCCGCGAGCTAAGAGGAAGGCGAGCTCGCTGCTGAGGATCCTCCACAGGTCGGAGAGGAGCTTTAGCACCGCGCTGAGTGGCGTGACTACCGTCCAGTTGCGGCATTGAGCGTTCGATTTGCGGGAAGAAAAGTTTCGAGAAGATAAGTTTCTAAGCTGTGGACACGGGGGAACAACAAATTTGTACATAGATGATTCTTTTCTCCCCACCAAAAGAAAGAGATTCTTTGCTATGGTCCCTCCATAACGTCAAAGTTTTATTTGTCTTCCATGGTTGTGGTGGATCAATCCCATCGATCGTACATTTTGGGTTTACTTGTGCTCCATGACGATGGCCGCCACCACCTTTTTGTTGCACGCTTGTTGGATTGGATTGAGCCTTCGGAGCGAACGTTCGCGCGAACGAGCTTTTTACTTTTGTGGTCAAGAACACGTTTCGTTGCTTCGTCCAATTCGTAGTGAAGTGAAATTCTTCCCGGGAACTTGGCACTGTGCTTCCAGCTATGGCCGATTCTTCGGCTATAGCGCTACTCCACGAAAGAGTCGTGATTACATCATTCAAGCTTAGGACAGAGACCGTAGTGTCTTAGAGCTGGTGATTCGGCAAACTCTTAACAAAAAAGAATAGAAGTACGTATTTCCACGTAAAAAGCTGTGACTTCATGAAACGCCGACTGGCCAACGTCGATCGAACTGTTTCCTCCTTTTCTTGACTTTCCAAACTTTCCATCACTTGCATGGCCGGTGGATTTAATTCCACGTAGAACACCTCTCTTATTTCACAAAAAAAAAAAAAAGAAGAGTTGCGCAGCGAAAACACCTCACGTTCTTTGCGGCGGCCAGACGATGAGAAAAAGCTGGCCGTAAGAAATAAAGAGAAATAAACGTAGCACCTCTTCCGGCGGTGGTGGATCCTCGTCTATTGCACGGCCATAACTCTCCTCTTGACTTTCCTCTTTGCGAAGATATCCTTCTTGGCATCGAGCAAACCGGACATGGAGAAGCCGTTCTTGAGGGACTCCATGGACGGGAGAGAAGGCCGGCGGTACGCTTTCCCATCTCGGGCCTTCTTCGCGTCGGAATCCAAACCGAGGAGAGCTACTCGACTGGCATCGCCTACGCGAATCGACAGCAGCCTATACAGAAAAAAAACAAAGTTGAATTTCCACTCACAAACCATGCTTTTGTGCGTACCTCAAAGCGGAGCTGCAAAGGATCACAACGCCCAGGTGATTGAGATGCTCTTGCATCGCGCGTTCCGCTCCGTAGACCAGCTGGTATCTCAAGTTTCCGGATAAGCCAAGGAAAGCACCATAGCCGAGAGCACTTGTTTGGACCGAAGGCAAAGGCACCGAAGACTCGTCGCTCGCACCACTACAGACAGGCCAGCCAATGATATGTACATCAGAACCAAACATAAAAGTCTTGGAAACCATACCGCTGCTTTCTCAAAGTAATGCAAGCCTTTGACAATCCCGCTCCAGCAGCTCCAAGGAAGGCACCGAAAAAGCCAAGCACACCTGCCTTGTAGAAAAAGCTGCAGAGCCTCTGCCCCATGTTGTAATTCCGCATGGAGTAGCTCTTGTCGAAGATGTTGTTGGGAAGCTTCTGTAGAACGTTCTGAAACTCGTACTTGAAGGTTGAGCCGTAGGACCTTGTCGGCGCGAGCGACCAAACAACGGCTAAGTTACAAGCCGCGAGAGTGAGGACGTTGCATAGAGCCAAATCCCACTCGTCCTTGATCCTGTGCACAAAAATTGATTCAATCAAACATACACAGAAAAAGAAGAAGAGCGACGAGCTCACCTTTCACCCCGACGCTGGTACTCCCACCAACATCCGTAACCAATGGTAGCGAGTTGCTCCAAGCATATTTTGTAAGGATACCAGCTTGGATCTGCAAGCATTCTGTCAAAAACCAAGACAACAGGCTCAGAAAAACAAAGTTCAGAGAGAAAGAAATGGTAAGTTACAACCTTGGAAGCGATGGAGGAAACAGTCTGTAGAGCGCCCTTGAGAACGTTGGCCTGGCACTCATTGAAAAGAATCTCACGAGTTGCGCGGAGCTCACCAATCCCTTTTGACACAGACAGTCAGACGAGCGAGCGACCATTTAAGCTTTTGCTTACCAGCTCAAAAGCCTGCTTGAAACCAAGAGGCAAGTCACTCATAGTTCGGTACCATTCCTTCATCACTGCCTCCAGGATTTTCCGGTCGAAAATCTGTTTAGGAAGAGAACAAAGTCAGCTTTCTCATTCCAAGGATCTCTCGTACCTCTGGAACAATTATTCGTTTGCCAAAGAGACCATCGTTTCCACCATCTTCTTCTTCGTCACCATCACCGAAATAAGCGTCGTCGTCTCCACCATCGTCGCCGCTATCACCACCGCCATGCCTGTTTCCTTTGCCAATGTTTCCACCATTGTCACCGTCCTCTAGCTGAAAAGAACAACAACATTTTTTTCTTCTTCATCAGCTACGAAAGAATAAAAAAGAGCTCGCTTGCCTGAGGCCTGGACTTGGTCGAAGACGTGGACGAGAGGTCAAGCTTGGATTTTTCCAGCGTCGCGCCACCGCCAAAGGCACCAAATTCCTTCCTCATCACGGGCACCATCGAGGAGGGATTGAGATCGACAGCGTCATTGTCCAGGAATGCCGAAACCCTGCCGCGGCCACCAGCGGCCGCATCAACCCTAATCCCCTGCCTAGCGCACGGGCAAAACCCTGCGAGCGAAACCCTGGAAGGGCCCGGAGCAGCAGCAATCCTCCCGGATGGAGCCGGCGATTGAAACGCTGTGAGGAGCGGCGACGACGAACCTGTGGAGTGGAGAATGTGAGCGTCGGAGGAGGAGGAGGAGGAAGCCGAGACGGGCGCCGATGGAATCGATAGCGCCAGTAGAGGATGCGCCATAGGTCCTCTGGCCAAAGAGATAGAATCCCTCGTGAATATGCGTCTTATACGCTGAGCTGGCGCGCTTTTGCCACGCCAGGCGATCTTGTGCCGCCACGTCATTCAACGTTTTTATACACGCAATCCATGTCATAGAGGTGGAGATCTTTTAGGGGTGAGCTTTACGCCATGTCATAGGCTTATTTTGCCACGTCGGAGAGGGGGAAAAAGCCCTAAAATCTTCTTCTTGATCATGGCGTCGTCTGTGAGAGACGAGGAGGACGACACGGAGAAGCAGGAGCGCGCGCCATTCTTCCAGGGAAGCGGGAGCGTGGCGGATGCTGTCGACCGCCTGCTCGATGGCTCCACGCGCTACCTCACCGCCGTCCACGCCGCATTCATCCGCTTCCAAGAGCCGCCGCCGGCGTCGGTCATCCCCAAGGAATGCCTCCTGTCAGCTCTGCGCCTCTTTCTCCAGGTAAATCTCGCGAAATCCAGTTTTAGATGTCTTTCTTTCGTGAAAATCCGTGCTCTTTGCTTCACGGGCTTGTTGATCTCGTGTTCTCTGTTCTCCCGCGTCTTCTTTTCGTAGTTCACATTGGAAGATTGTTGTACTTCTCGAGCTTTTCCACAGTGGAACCTTCCATTCTGTGTTGTAGAAGCATTCAAGCTCTTTCTTCTCTGGATTTTTTCTTCGATGCTTTGCTTATTTCGTGTTTCGCGTCTTACATTGCAAGATTGTTGTAGTTCTAGAGTGTTTTTCACATTGGAACTGTGTCGTGGAAGCATTGAAGCTCTTTCTCCTTTCTAGGATGCCTTTCTTTTGCAGAACTCCAGGATGGTCTTGCTTATGTTTGAAGCTGGGTTTTACAAATCAGATCCAATTCCTTGCTTGCTTGGTAGTAGTGCTTAGATTCCTTACTGACGATCTTCTATCTCCTTCCAGACGCTCGCGGAAGAACTGGATCCAAAGCCCGGCAAGCTTCTCTTCCGGCCGGTGGAGCAGGAGGACCTGGAAGCGATCCTCGAGTACGACACTTCGCCAGAGATCGTGGACGTGCCAATCGACATCGACAGATTCGAGCAGCTGGCCCGGCGGCTGATCAAGCGGGTAGCTTTGGATCGAGGCAAGAGGCTGGGACTGTTCATGCTGGGCGGCGTCATGCTCGTCCATATGGCCAAGAGCGTCGTCAAGAAAGTCCCGTTCATCGGTGGCCCGCTGGGATGCTTTGTGGACGTTTTGCTTCCAACAACGTTTATCGGCCCGGCAGTGGGAGTCGCAGGAGCAATCTACCTATGATCAACCCATATGTTTATTTTGTACCATAGCAAAAGAAATGATCACAATAAGGTTTTACTCGTAGAATTTTTAAAGATTATGACCATTTAAACTTTGTGAAGGTTGAGAGAAATTTAAATTTTAAATGGTTGTAGGGGATGTCACAAAAAGCTGGAGTAGCTCAGTTGGTCAGAGCGTGTGGCTGTTAACCACAAGGTCGGAGGTTCGAGCCCTCCTTCTAGCGAAGTATAAATTGATCCTTTTTTTTTGGTTGGAGTCGTTTTACTTTTTCTTTTGGGAAGGAAATGCGGCGAAGCGTGGAGCTGGACGATGGCGCGCTCGTCGAAATCTTGTCCAGGGTCGCGGATGCGCGGCGGATTGCGCAGTGCTCGCTGGTGTGCAAGCGATGGCAGGAGCTGCGCTGGGCTGTCACAGGCTTGCATTTCGATTTTAGGGCTCGCAGCAAGGAGGAGGTGAGGGAGAAGGAAGACGTCATCGCCGCTGTGCTCCGCCGCACCAAGAACAGAGCTCCCGGATGCCTCAAGACGCTCAAGGTCTCTCTCAGGTGCGATGAGCCGTCCGAAGCTACCGGGCACTGGCTTATGTGGGCCGATTCCCTCACTGCTCTTTGGCTCGAGGCCACCGTTTCTCTGCGCTGGGGGCCGGCTGTATGGAATTCGGTGCTGCGCTTGGACACTCTCCGGGGCGTCCAGATAGTCGGGAGGTTTTACAGCAAGAACTTGCTGCCGGTGGTGGATGAATCTCCCTTCCAGAGCTTGCGCTACTGCCGATTCTCCAAGGCGATCAACGTGACGAATTTGCTGCTCGAGGCGCTCCTCGCAGCGTCCCCGGCTCTGGAGAATCTGAGCGTCGACTTCTTTGGGGACGTTTCCAGGCCAGCTCTCACGGTCTCGAGCGCCAGCTTGAGAACTCTCAGGCTTTTCGGCTGCTGGAGGGATGGCGATGCGTTCAAGGTGGTTCTCAACGCGCCAAGGCTGGCCAGCTTTGTGTTTGGCAACCTTCCCTCGAGAAGCGCCAGGCTGAGCATCCATTTCCTATCGAAGAACTTGAGCTCGCTGGAGCTCTTCTCCTCCTGCGAGCTCGAGAACCGGTGTGATTTGCTGCAAAGCTTGAGGATAACTGGAAACTGGGCGCTGGAGAATGTTGCGAACGTGTTCCAGTTCACGCCCATGGTCACGGTGCTCCACCTTGGGCTGAGGAGCACTGGAAAGACAAGGATTGACAATTTCCTGGCTCCACTCATCAACTTGAAGAGGATCCATTTCTATGGCCTGGCTATGATGGTATGCTTCATTTTTCTTTCCCTTTTCCTTCTTTTTATGATTCCCTTGGCTCTTGCAGTCGTTTGTAGGAGGAGACATGAGATTAGAGGCGCTCCATGTCCATCTCTGGGCGGACTTGGACTTCCGCTATGCGGCGCCTGATATCAGCTTGTTCAAGGCTTTTCTTGAAGTTCATAAAATCCCGAGTCTGGTGGTACATTGCAAGGAGATGGCAGACCACGAAACGAAGTCCGTCAAGGAGAACTACGAATGCTGGCGAGTTCTATTCGACCTGTTACTCTTCTATCCAAGCCGAGTCACACTCAAGTGCTAAAAGGTGACAAGTTTTGTTCTTGTCAACTGTCTTGTTCTAATTGCCCTGGTTTGCAGGAAACGGAGCCACCACCTTTTGAACAGAATGCGTGGTATGGAGCTCAAGCGATGGCAAGAGCTCCGGTTCGGCTTCTACAGAGCTTTGATGGGTCAACCGCCGCTGGTCAAGAACCTCCGGACTCTCGAGTTTCGTGACACTGGTGTCTCGACTTCGCTTCTCAAGGCACTCTCTTGGCAGCATGCCCTCTATCAGCAGAATTCTCAGTGGTTACACTCACACCCTTGTCAAGCGCAAGCCTTGAAATCGTAGTGTTTGTATGAGTGAGTGATTGTGGAAGCCCTGAGGTTGAGCATTCTTATGTTGGAAGTGAGAAGCGTGAGAATCTGTTTGCTCGCCCATTATGTTGGAAGTTGGAAAAGTGAGAATCTGTGGTGATTTGCACTTTCTTGCCTTCTGTAGTCCTAACTGCTGAGGATTTGTGGAGACTGGAACCTGATGAGATGATCACCCAGGGTGACAAAACTCTGCCGCAAGCTCAGATGAGTCCTGATCTTGTGATCGCTCCATTGCTCAGGCTAAAGGCAGTCCACTTGGACTGTGCTTCTAGAAAGCTACTTTGATCACAGGATACTCACTAGCAGTCCTCCGTTGTGGGAACTCATCCATACGTCAACTGGTTGAGAGCATGCGAGCATGCGGCACGATGAGAAGAGGGACGTGAGATGGAGCTGTCGCTACAGAGCGACGATCCATTTCTGGGTGAATGTCCCAATATCACTCCTCGTGGTTTTGCTTCGGGATGCTCGAGTCTGAAGGCTTGACTGCAAAGACGTGGCTCACTGGACGTTTAAGGCGGACTACCTGGGTTGGCGTGCTTTGTGTGATCTGCTGCTACTTTATCTCAGTCGTGTCTCCGTGTCAAGAGAGAGCTACTGGAGCAAATAGGTGGTACAAGGAAAACATGCCCTTCACAATTTGCTACCACAGAAGTTGTAGTCCAACCAGAAACTTAACCAACAAACGGTGTGGACAGACTACAAATATTTGTTATACATGGAGCCAGGATGAGCTGATTAATGTGTGCAAGCTCACACCAGCAATCACAGGACTACACCTTTATGCTGGAAGAGAAGATGAGCCTAACACCACTGCTAACACCACTAGTCAAGCTAAAGACGCTTCATTTGGATTGTGTTTCTTTGGAGGTTTTCCAGGCAAATGCCTCTCAGCCACCTGATACCTAAGATTAATGTCATTTATTAGTTTTATTTGTATTTGTTAAAAAAAAAAACTTTAAAGCGTCAAGGTTTTCTCAATCTTGGAGAACATAAAAACTCTAACATAGGGTAGTTTATTCACGTCCATGGTCATCTCCTGTTCCTCAATCTAGCTCAAATCGCCTCTAAATGCAAGCCACATCTCTTTGCAGGATAACTCCCATAAATCAAATTCAAAGGCCACTTATCTCGCTGGATACTTCAAGCTCTAGCGCTCTATCACAACAAAAGAATGGTTCTCCGAACGAACAGATCGATCCGTGGCTCTAGCACAGCTGTCTTCTCTCGGCCTCTCGTGTAGCGTTGCCACAAGATCACAAGCTTAGGCAATCCTCCTCTTCATTGGACTTTGGCAGATGTCGCTTCCAGGTGATCTAGCTGTGATGATGAGTGTTCTCTCAAGGGTGGAGTGTTAGAATGGGAGGAGTGGCAAAGGCAATAGAACTGATCTTTCTACTGTGTGGAAGCAAAAAGATGTCATTGTTATTCTAGATAGGTTTAAATGTAATCTAGAAAAGGATTTATATTATTAAGAATATATATATATATATATATATATATATATATATATATATATAGTATAACCAAGTAATAAAATAATTTGCTGCACAATTATTTAAAAATCCAATTGATCAATTGGATATTTATAATTTATAAACACAAGATTAATATTATTAATGTAATATAGTAGAATAAACTAGAATTTACTAGGAAGTGTTTAAGAAAGTTTATGAATTATAAATATAAGATTAATATAAATAAATAAAAACTATTAGATGTTAGAATATCCCAGAATATCCAAGCATATTCTAGATATATTCATTACAGGTTTTCTTAAGCAAACCAATATTAAATATTAGTTATCTACGATTTATAATGTTAATATCTATGGCAACCATAAAAACTAGTTTCCAAATTTATTAATTGATAAAATTAGGTTAAATTGAAAAGGTAAAACCAATAATAGAAAGACAAATTTAATATAAATAATAAAATGAAAATATTAAAACTTATAAAAATAATATACAAGAACAAATATGTTATTCAAATAGACAAGCATTTTTATTTTTATTAAGTTATAAACTGGCATGCGAATCTTTCAAAACGGTATTACAGTCACTAAATCATTTCCATACGCTTCTATCCCACCGCTCCGTCTGCTCATCTGAAAATGAGCACGCTTAAGATCGTACGCTAGGAGATGCCGAAAACAGAGTAGGGTTTGTAAGAACATGAAAGACGGCTGTAAAGAGACGTTGTTTCCTATGCTTATATCTATGGCCAGAACGGACAAGACCGCACGGCGCTGGATTTGTATGGACCTTGTGAAGTGAAGGTAACGTTGGTCAGTGCTTGTAACGTGATCGGGGAATGCCATGCCAGGATCGTTTTAGCAGCTCAATTTATTTCTATCTGAAAACGGCGAGCTCATCTGCCAGCATTTCGGCACTAAGCCGAGGCTGAGCTCGTTGCATGAAACGAAAGAAACAGTCGTAATGCTCAGAGGATGGTAGCAGCGAGAAATCATCAATCATCGCAACAAAGCATCCTCGAGCTTCGTCAGGCGAGTAACCGGCACTGGAACACGCAGACAAAACCACTAGAAACGTTACGGAAGAAGGATCAACACCTTGGAGGATCATGTAAGGGAGAATCTCGAGTGCTTCCCTGCTGTGATCGTTCCTAGAACAAGCGGACATCAAGGTGGTGAAAGAGAACTCGTCCGGTCGTCCCAGCCGAGAGAATGCTTCCTTCGCTTGTATCAAACTCCCGCAGCACCCGTACATGTGAATCAGAGCATTCAAAACTTTGGTGTGTCTCTTGTACTTGGATCGACGGATTCTCCTGTAAACGGCTTCTCCCTGCTGGATCGACGCTAAAGTCGCACAAATCTCGAGCATGGTAACGAAGGTAGCCTCATCCGGATCGATCCCCTCGGCCTCCATCCGGTGGAAAAGTTTGATCGCTTCTTTACCCTGCCTATTCTTGCCGTAGGCATCGATCATCGCATTCCAGGACACCACATCACGCTTTGGCATGTCCAAAAATACGTCCTTGGCATTCTCAAATCTCCCGTGTTTTACAAATGCCGTTAGAATCGAGTTCCAGCACAGGATGGTTTTGTGTGTGATGTTGTCAAACATGAGCTTGGCTTGATCGACTTCACCGCGCTGGGAGTAAGCGCGCATCATCACAGCGTAGAGCACGGAGTCTCGCTGCTCGCACTCATCAAACAAGAGCTTTGCTTGCTCAAAGTCTCCATTCTGGGCGTAAGTAGAGATCATACTCGTGAGTGCTGTGATATCTTTGCGTGGCATTTGATCGAACAGGGTCTTTGAGGAGGCTATGTCGCCAGCCTTGGAATAAGCTTTGATCATGGCTGTCCAAGCTTTGGAATCCTTGATAAGGATTGAGTCAAACACTTCTCTAGCCTCCTTCATATGCCCATTTTGAGCATATGCTGTGACCATCACTGTGCAAGCAATGGTGTCACGTTTTGGAGCTCGATCAAACAGAATCTTTGCTTCGGCTATGTTGCCACCCTCTGCATACGCTTGTATCATCGTTGTCCATGTAACCACGTCCTTCTTATCAGTGCTCTCAAACAGGCTGCGAGCTTTGTTCATATGCCCGCTTTGGGCATACGCTGAAATCATGGTGTTGTATGATGTCGGAGATGGATTTCTTATCTGATCAAGAAGCTCTCGTGCCTCTAGCAGGTATCCTTTTTTTGAAAATGCCGTTAGAAGCGCGTTTGCTGAGATGGTGTTCTTGTCTGGCATGCTGTTGTAAAGAGCTTTGGCGTCTCGCAGATGCCCGTTTTGGGCATACGCGGCAACCAGCATTGTCCAAGAGAAAATATTGGGGTCCTTGAGATCGTCAAAAGTCCAGCGGGCTTCTTCGAGGCTGCCACATTTCCCATACGTTTCTATCAAGATGTTCCAGAGGAATCTGTTTTGGGGGTAGCCGCTGTTTGTGATTTGGAAATGCAAGCGCTTTGCTTGCTTAAGATCTTTCTTCTTCCCACACGCTCGAAGCTGCCGAGCAAAGAGTAGTGTATCGGGATGTTCTTCCTCTTCCTCAACATCCACCGTATGCCGGTGCGCAAGCGTGAAGAAATTTGCGACGCTCATGGCTGAAAGTAAGGCTTATCGCCCTGCAGATCCCCGCCAGTCATTCTATCCGTGTTTTCCTCTAGAACCACGAGAATTTGGCGCATGGAGCATTACGCCCTATAGCATTCTCTACTTTGCCTCCCCTGTGAGAGTGGCTATACCTCCACTGATCATTCGTAATGACAATTGAGGTATGAAAAATACCTACAAAATGTAAAGGGTTTAATATACAAAACATAATACTATAATTATTATTTTAAAAAGTTCTTCATAAAAATTAATATTATTAACTGAATGTATAAATAAAATATAGAAACGTATATATTAATTAGCCCAAAAACCCTAACTTAACAGTTATCAAAATTCTAAGCTAATACATCATAACTATACACTTGATTAATGAATTTAGATTTGGAATGAGGCATTGGTGGATGGGTTGAGTAGTTTTTGAATTAAACTCACAAGCTGAGCTCAAGTCAATAAAAGTCAACAAAAGTCAAAGTAAGTCAATTTTTTAATTAGTTTACTTTAGAAATGGTAATTTACTTTGATTATTCTTGTGGCTGTAAGATATGAGAAATCTACATTTGTGCTATGTTGCAACTCTTCCACAATGAGTGAAACAGCACAACAATATAGATTTATAAAACCTCATAGCAGAAGGAGCATGTGTGGTTCAAGAAACTCACCATGTGTAAAACACATCAGACAAATGCAAGAGACGCAATCCAGTAAGTCCTTGGTGCTCACAGACAATTGATCCCTCTTGGCTTGGGATTCATAGATGGAGGCAGCAACATCTTTACCAATGACATCTAATCCGCAAACTACCACTACAAGAGCAACTTTGATATCATCTGTCATAACAACTTCTCTAAATTCAGTAAGAATTATGTATTTTAGAATGTTAAAATAATATTTTATTTTATTTTATTTTTTTAGTCTTCCTGATATTATTTTCTTAAAATGTCCATGCCATCAAGCCCCTTGGGGAGCCCCTTCTTGGCTCATTGGAATACTGATCATGACGAGAAACAAGAATAGGGATTGATTGGTCAACTCTCTTATATGCGTTGGTTGCAAGAAATTATTCATTTATCTCTCCTGATCCTAACAAGTCTCTACTATGGTCCTGGATTTATCGCGACCTTTGGTACCAACCTCAAGTATCTCCAGTCCTGAGCAGCGTCTTTATCCTTCTATGGATCATGTATGCTCAATAGTAAGCATTCTACAATCTCAAGACGCTCGAAACTGAATGGATGATGTAACTTGATCGAACATGGTCTTTGAGGACGGTTTGGCTAGAGCTCTTCGACTCGATTTACTACAGGATTCCAGAGCTTGCACAGATCCGAGCATATTGCTGTGCAAGCAATTCTGTCACGGTTTGATGCTCGATTAAATGCTTGCATATCAGATCACAACTCAAAACCCTCTTAAGGTCCCAACGTTTTCTCCTCATGGATAGCTTGTAGCGGATGCCCTAAAAGGGCATCTCTGAGACGTTAATGCTTTTTACAACATGCCAGCGACGGGCAACATCTCAACAAACGCGCTTCTATTTAAGATTTTGCAAGGAAAGATACTTGTTAGAAGATGAGAAGTGCATCTCCAACAACAAGGCACATAAACATCTATGTCGGGATGTTTCCTCTTCCTCCCAATAAAATGTATGCTGGTGGTTATCAAGGAGCTCTCCCTGTTTCGTCTAGAACCGGGAAAAGCTAAAATGCCCATTTCAGGCATATGCCAAGCAGGAATTTCCGCCAATTAAGATCTTTTAAATTTCAAAGAACTTATCGTTTGATTTTGGACGTTAATATACATACACATGTAAGAAATCCTCGCGGGTGTTTTGATCTTCTGCGCACAGGCTTTTCTAGATGCCAAGTAAAACGTAGTATAAAAGAGTTATAGGCAGTGCCACTAGCATACCGAAGATCACACTGTTTGCAAGAAAGCTCAAGTTAAAGAACGAAAAGAATAGAAAGAGAGACTCACGCCGTGCTGAGAACATCTGGATGAACATTATATTCTTTCGCAAAAACGAACGGCACGATTCCTTGAGGTAGAGCTGCCTGGTATCAATACAATAGAAAGATGAATTTTTAATTTTTTTATAAAAAAAAACTATATACCTGGACAATGGCCGCTCGAAGATCCAGCTTTCTTAACCCCACAGCGATGGACGCCACAGACATGATAGCCGGGCTACAGAAAAATCTGAGCAACATTCCAAACATTGCCATGGAAGTTCCACAGGCCAAAATTCTCGGTTGCAGCGCCATGAAAAGTCCTACACAAAAGATTGAGCATCAGTGTTGGAAGATTTTGAAAGAAATAGAGAAACTTTACACACACCTAGACTGAACATAGCCATCCCCAAGCCAGCATCCGAGAGAATAGTGATGGACTTTTCAATGAGTTTCGGCGCCTTGACATTCCACCTAGAAAAAATCTACAAGAGCTTCAGTCAGGCAAGAAAGTAATTTCATAGTCTATAAGTAGCTATCAAAGAGGAATGAGGGAATGAACTCGAGCTTGCTACAAGTACCTGAAAGAGACGAGAGCCCAGACCAAGCCGATGAGACTCGAGTAAGTGTTTGGATTCCTCACGAGTTTTCTCCACACCATGTCAAGGATGAGCCTAGTCATGACTGTTGCTGGAGGCATTGCTTGATTCCCTTCTCCAGTACCACCACCATTCAAGTTTGGAGTTTTTGGAGCAAGCTCCACAGTGGAGCTCGATTCTAGCTTCGCAAGATTCGGCTCAAGCTTATCGGATGGATCATACGCACCGTTTCGATCAGCAAAGCTGAATTCCTGGTGCAAGTACTCTGGAACTCGGTCCCTCGTATCTAAACCATTGCCAGAAACAAGGGAAAGTGTAAGAACTAACAAGGAACAAGTTGTGAAACACTTGCCTTCCACTTGACCATCATCAGAGACGACGACCAGTTTGGTTTCTTTTGGATCAAACTTGGCTCCATCTCGGGCATTGAAGTCGGTTCCACCGAAGACATGCAAACCCTTCTCGGACGTTGGGGAAGCGCTCGAGCTCCACACAAACATATGAAGCTCTTTGGCGTCGTAGTCAGCCGATTTTCCCTGTGGAATCCCTTGCAAAACATTGGTGGCACTGTTATCTTTGCCTGTGGTGCTGGAAATGTTATTGTTCGCCACCTTTTTGGGGAGCTGCATGGATGGCGATGGCGAGTACGCTCCCAAAACCTTGCTCGTGTTGTTGCTATTGTTGCTATGGTGGTGGTGGTGGTGGTGGAATCCATTGCTCTGATCCTCCTGGAAGCTCAGGCGATTAGCAGTGATCCCGGATTGATTCAGGAGCCCCGTGGACATTCCCTCGTGTGCGTGGTGATGCAAAGGACTCCCCCCAGCGTGATGCCCAGTGCTCGCTCGTCCAAATATGTTGGAGCTCATCAAGCTCGAGTTCCCGCCGCCGCTCATGAGATACGCGTCCCCGCGGGTGAAGCTCGAGTCGCGGGGGGTCATATTCCGCGAAGAATGCAGCGAGTAGATCTCGGCCCCGGTGAGATTGGAGGGGCGGGGAGTCCCCGCCTTGCTCGAGAACATCGATGCCATGGGCGATCTCGCGGTGCTGTTGAGATTGAACTGGCCAGCGCCGAAGTTGGAGTTGAAGTGATGCATGGAGGCCGAGGAGAACCTGGCGGACTGCGCGGAGGAGGTGGACTTGCGGACCTTGACGTGGATCCGGCCGTCGTCGCCCACCTCGGCCTCGGTGAGCACGGGCTGGTCGCGGCCATCGAGCGAGATCACGTCCGAGTCCACCTTGAAGGAGACGATGGAGGCGGCGGTGTCGGGGAATTGCTCCAGGATGAGGATCTTGGCGCTGCGGTACTCGTACATGACGAGGAGGAGCGTGTACCAGACGATGCACTGGAGAACCACGGCCTGGACGACGAGGCTGCCGTGCTTCTCGCCATACATGGCGTAGAGGAGGGGAATTCCCATCACCAGCGTGTTGGGCAGCGTCGCCACCATGAAGTGCGTGATGACCCACTCGAAGCTGGCGCGCGACGAGTAGCGCGCCCAGATGGCGAGGACGAGCATCACGGCCGCCTTTTGGATGGCGTCGGCGGCGATGAACTGGGGGTTCATGAGGTAGGGGTTGTTCTTGGAGATGATCTGGAAGGAGAGCAGTGGCACTGCGAAGAGCGCCACGAATCGATTGATGCCCGAGCACTGCTCGGGCGTGAGGATCCCCCACCAGCGCACGGAGCCGTAGGCCAGGATCATGGCGACGTAGAGCGGCACCACAGCGGCCATGACTTGGTAGAAATCGCCCCCGCTAATCATCTTTCCCGGGCGAGTGGGAAATCCTTCGCGGACGAGAGAGAGAGAGAGAGAGAGAGAGAGAGAGAGAAGCTCTGCTTTCTCTGTTTTCTAGTTCTTGGGCAGTGAATTCGAGGATTGCGGCCCCCTGCGAGCCGGATTTTGAAGCAATCGATCGGAGAGCTATCTAGGAAGCAATGCGGGCACAGTTTACCTCGGGAATTTGAGCTGTCTAGCGCTGCTGTCCATCGATTTGCCGACGAAACAGGATTGAACAGCTCCCCTCTCTGGGCATATAGGAGCAATCAACCATCTCAGGCGACAAGGCTAGGAACTACACAGGGGTTTCTAATGCGAATCGCAGCCGGCAACAAAGATCTCTCACACACCGGGGGTGTTCCTCCTCCGACCTCATGGTCAATCCAATGTGGGTGCGTGAGATTGATTGATTGATGGAGATGGGCAGCGCGACACGCCAAACAAGAACACAGTGCGCTCGAAGAATCCAAAGGTCCAGTAGCAGTAGTAGCGCGAGCAGCAGCAGCAGCAAATCTCACAAAGAAAAGAAAAATGCGCGACGAAGAGAGACCTAAAAGAGAAAAGATGGGAAGAGCCCACTAGCTAGGAGTATGCTATACACTCACTCACACTACACTTGGGAGTGATAGTGGTATCGGAATGGGCCACTGGCCACTGGCCACTGGGTCAGTGGGCACTGGCACATGGGCCTGACTGGGGCCGTACGCTGGCCACTTTGTCGCCCCAGTTTCGTACACAAGCCCCCTCGCCCTATCATGGGTGGTGAAATCTCGCTGTGGGGAGCCAGTGTTTCTCATCGAATCGATCCATCGGATAAGAAGGTATTGGTTATTTCTTTCCCCATTTTTTCTTTATTTTTTACACGGCTGGGCTGTAGCCTGATCCAAGTACATTTGCTCGCGATGTTTTGGAAATTTCGTAACCGAAGCCCCTTTGTTTGGAACAGATATCTCTCTGCCATAAAGCTGTGCTGCCACATTATTTTAAATCGATCTCTCTTTCGCCACCTCTTGAAAGCTAGATGGGCTTTTCTGCTTGGGGGTTGGGTGTCAATCGTCTGCGCACATAACATACATGTAAGTGTGAAAGGAAAGGTGGCGGGATTGAAATATTTGCAGCTTGTGTTCCTCTATGAATTCTCTTTTCTCTGGTTGGTTGGTACGAAAATTGCTAGCTGGGAGGCAATCACTGCAAACATCCGAATAGTAATACATGGTTTTCGAGTCTGGTGGAGGCATGGGACCAGCTGTGATCACCTATGTGATCAAGAAAGCCACACTCTCTTCCTTCTTTTTTGCTTTGTACGATGTACATGGAGATCATATGGTTCCATTGGGGGTGATTTAAGTATATATCTCAGAGATACTGTCAGCTTTAGATCGACACTTCAAGACTCTAAGCGAGCTCTTAACATCGTGTCGATCTACACAGCTGAGATGGAAAAGCTGCTAGCAATTTGCTCATATCATGGAATTGCGTGGGCTACTCTACATTTGGCTGGTGGGATCATCTCATCTCTTCTCGAGCCGTATACAATGTGTGTACTACTCATTCGTGCAGAATATGATGCTCTACATATACGTCTTGGAGAGAATCTTCCCGCCCTTTTGAGTTTCTCGCTCTCCCAATTGCACGAAAGGCATCTTACTGTGGGGCATTCCAGTCCACAGGCACCACTCCATCGCTCTTAAAGCTTCTGATAATGCCACACAAGGATTTCCCCAATTTCATGTACTCGTATAGATAACATTGTGCCATCAAGTAGGGACATTGGTGCCAAATTCCGCCTTAAAGAAAGTGGGGGTCTGAAAAACAAAGGCTGTTCAATGGGTTTGGTGTTGTGTAGCATCCATCTCCACATTGGAAAAGAGCTTGGATTCTGGAAAGCATTTAGTTTTGAAGCATATGATCACCAGAGAGCCTGGGTTTTGTTTAAGCGCCTAGCCGGAGGCTTTTGCAGCGTAGATTCCAGACACGCACTTGCAGCTCCGCCAAAATTCCACCCTGCCTTCCAGCGCTTTAGCCTAGTGCTTGTAGAATCTAGGATTCTCACAAAGAGAATAATTTTGTACATGGCTCCCACTCCAGTCCACTCACAAAATGCCCATTCCAAAATGCCCGTGCCTGGCATGTTTTTGGTTTAAGCATTCGAAAGAGGATGGTTTAGTGGCAGCAAAGCACTGCCCACGTATCTCCCGACAATACAACATTGTGATTAGCTACCTAGATTAGCCAGACTAGTTTATAACCGAGGTGGACCACTGACAACAAGTGGTTACATTGTAGCCATCCCCCTCACAAAAAGAAAACATCAAATGGTCCTCTGATGTTTTTCTCCATCAAGGTGGCGGTGACGGCGGTGATGCATGCATGATGCCAACAGTGCTAACGTAGAGTGGAGACTTGGACGTTGCTTTCATGCATGGCCAACTTTTCGGTCCCAAAACACCGAACAGTTTGCTTTGAGGTTCTCCTCGGAGGCAAAGCAACACAATTTGCTCACTTGCTTCTCTCGCGAGTCGCGATTGTGAGATTGGCTCGGACACCATAAATTTGGCCTGTCCGATGGAGCTAGCCACACGATGTGGATGAGCGCATTGTGCTAGAGAGTGTGACAACGAGCTCCATCTCCTCCTCTCCTTTGCAATTGTCTTGGTTTCCCATGAGAGCGACGCGCTCCTTTGGATCGCTTGCGCCATCATTGGCAGGAGAACAAAAAGAGCGCCAACCAGATCTGATATTCGCCCGCGCTTGATCTTTCATCGCCCACTCAAGCGTTCCTTCTGGAGATTTCTCCTCATAGACCATTTTCTTGGGTCTTTGTATTCTTTTTTCTTAATTTTTTTTGGGGGGTGGGGCGCTTGATCGCTCCTGAAAGTGAAGTGACACCGGCAAAAAGAGCAACTCTTCTCTTTTGTCTTCCTTTTTTCTTTTTTAAATTTTAAATAACTTTTTTCCCTTCTTTTTCTTGTGGTCCAGGGAGAGTGCATTGAAAATATTTATGGAGAGTGAATAGCCATTGCAGCCATTCAAACCAATGCGCAGAGAGGCTGAGTTGCTTGACCTGTTTGGAGGATTTTTAACTTTGTATGAGTGATCACCCATACAAAGACAGGACCATGTGCATGGCCGTCTAAAGGCCCATTTCGTATTGATGTCAGACACAGACTGGAAGTTTTGGACAAAAAACTGGGAAAAGGAAAAGTTCAAGAAAAAAGAAACAAAAAATAGCAAAGAATTTTATCAGACAATTTGAGAACGACAGCAAAGAGAGCCTCTCGAGAAATATTTGTTAAAAATCAGAGCCGCAGTAGCTAGCAGGAACACGAAGAACTCCCCGGTATTTGTTTGGGATTTCTCTATTCTTTAGTAAGACATGGATCAAGCGAGCGCGCGAGCTTTCTATATGGATTTTCTCGCAGCAGCCGCCTCCAACCAAATCATTACGGCAAAGGCTTTTGTCTGCTTGCTGTTTCTTAGAATGATGCGCTAAGTAAGCAGCGCATGAGGACGAAGAACTTGGGGAAGAGATTTCTTTTACTTTCTCGAAATGTTCTTCCCGAGAAACTCAACATTGTCGATGGCTCGCTGAGCAGTACAAAAGGTTTCAGGAACCAAGTACCTGGAAGCACGAAAAGAAACAAGGATGAAGTGATGCGCGAAAGAAACAAGGATTTCCCGGGCTTACCCCGTGTTGCCCCCAAACATCTCCCCGTTTGGTCTCTTGCAGCGGCAAGTCCTGCAACACCTTTTTCTTGCGTACCTGATAGTGTAATGTACTAAGCTCCCCAGTCGTGCCTTTTGCTCTGTGATCGTCCGTATAAGACCCTGCACCCCCGCAATACAATCGCAAAATGAAAAGGAAGCCAACAAAACGGTTGACACCAAAGCACTGTACCTGGGTGTCAGGAAGAACAACTTTGATGTTTCGGTTAAAAAAGTCGACGACTTTACCTCCAATCTAACGGATAATTAACTGCCCGGTGACGAGAATGATAGCCGCGTAGGAAAGGAAAAATCTGTGTGAAAGGAAGGGTCAAACCATGCTTTGAAACGAACCTTAAGTTTTTTTATCAATGCTTCACAAAACGCTGCTAGTACTCTCCCACAAACCAGCTTATTGAGGAGCAGCACGAATGTTATACATAAATATACACACACACACAACCAGAGTTTACAGCGAACCTCTTGATCTATTCCGAGGCTTCTTCCGTCGGAAGTCGATCCTGGTACCAGCTCCGAAGCCCACCTTCCAGGTGCAAAACATTCGTATAGCTGTCCATGAGAAGCACGTATGCCGCAATCAACGATCTGCAAGGTGAAAAAGGAAAAGCAAGCGTCAGTATGCAGTGGCAGTGATTACTACTACGAGAGAAAATGGTTAAAGAACTATCACTGTGCTGGAATTGGTTATGTCAATCATGTCATGGAACAGATGCAAGCTTTTCTGAGTACGCTACCTTGATTGCTGTCCATCGGCCAAAGTCGGAGTAGGCTTCATTGTACCTCCAGATGCGCAGGCAACAATAACTTTGGACTTGCTTTCGACCTTAGCCCTCACATCTGGAAGCACAGGAAGAGACAGAAATATAAGCGCTCGAGTAGCATCTGATAATATCACACAATCTGGCAGGCAAGTTGGTTCTGATGGTCGGTCGTGCTACTCGGATTGGAATGGGCAAGCGCAAGCAACAGTAGTAAGGGATCTTACTTTACATGCCTGCAAGGAAGTTTGGATTCTCTTCGGTACCGTCGAAAATGCCAAAGAACGCGAATCCCAGCCTTCGAGCGATATCCCAGGCAGTCCATTCCTTGATAAGCCTGTAAATCTCTACATTCACAGCTCCTATAGGATGCATCTGGAAAGTTCTCTCCATCAGATGAAGTTGGCCAAAAGAAAAAAAAAAGAAAAAGAAAGAAGAAACTTACCTTTTGGAACTCGTTCTGAGGACGAACATCTAGAAGAACGTAGCCTTGTTCGTCCTGGAGCCTTTTAGCGTCCTTGGCAGTGATAGAGCGCACCTACATCCACATACTCGTCTATCTCCATTCCTTTCCAATCCAGGTCAAAGAAAGACTAGAAATTCTACCTGGTTTTTCTTCAAAGCCTCGCGCTTGATTCTCCAATCCTCCTCGGCTGTGAAGAAGGATTCAATAGCCTACCGATGAGTTTCTTGGAGCTAGGTCGAATTCGCGAGCAGTACCTGGAGTCTTGGCGCGCTTGGTTGCTGCTCCAGTCGCTCGAATCGCCGTCGTCCTCCTCCGCGGCGGCGCATTGGCGTGGAAAGGAATCGCGCTGCCAAAATCGTCGAGGTTTCCAGACCTGGGAGCCGCGGAGAGAGCGAAAGAAGCCGCCGTCGCCATTGCCATTTATCTCATTCCCTCGAGAGAACAATGGCGAGGATATTCTACCCTTCGTTTAGGGTTCTTATAGGGTTTTAGGAGGAGAGCGGCTGGCAATGGATGTCGATTTTCGCCAGGGATTCGCGAAGCTCGCTCGCTTGTCGAGCCTGGCCGACGATCGCATTGCGGCACTTGCACGGGTACGTTCTCGCCTCGCATTTCTCGCAGAATTTCACTTATTTCGCGCGGCAGGGGGATGAAATCGATCGAAAAGCGGTGGAAGTGGTCCAGGAATTGCTCGTGAGGCCGGATTGCACAGTCGTAGTGGCTGGATGCTTTCGATCGGTGCTGTCTGAAGTAGTGTCGGATTTGGTAAACTCCCTTGAGAAGCGAAGTAGCTCGAGTTTGAGCGTGGCAACTCATGAGTATGTGAGCGTGGCCTTTAGCAAAATTCTCGACCTGGCTCCATTTCTCTCGAGGTAAGCCTCGTGTATGTAGTGTCTCAAGTTGGTGATTTATATCTGCCTTGTGTTCTGTGCAGCTCGATTCTACGCTACTATACGTTTGCTCCATCACCATTTGAGAGACTATTGCGTAATGGTCTTGGTGGTGAATCGAAGGAGGGGCCATCTCTCTTGGAAGTTTTACGTGCCTCCTACCAGTTCCTCCGGCTAGATGGGAGAAGCTTTCGGGAGCTGTGGGATTGGAGTCCTTTTCTAAGTCTTTTGCTGTGGACTGGAGAATGCCGCGGAGGCACGGTTTTTGATGTACGCTGGTGTGCTGTCCAGGTTTTGTCACTGGTGTTTAGAATGTCGGATGCTGCCTCGAGAGACTTGAGTGCGTCGCTCTCGGGTATTTCGGAAGAAGAGGCATTTTCATGCTTGATAAGGTGAGCTTATGTTTTTGTTCATCGTATGACTAACTTCTTGTTGCTACAGGTGGGAGGAGTTTTATCGAGAAATAGCGGTAGGAATAGTAGAGATGTTCACTGCGGGTGGTGACTTAGATACTCAAGAGAAGAGTTCGGCTACTGTACATTATGAGTCAGTTGTAAGGTGGAAGCAACGGCATGACGAGAAGGTCTCACATGTCGTCATTTGTGGTGTTGAGCTGCCACTGCGGCCTGATTTTCAAAGGTACGGGACTTTGATAAGTAAATCTTACAAAGCTTTTCAACTTTTTTGGTTGCAGCGGAGGCGCTGTGCGAAGCTCTTTTGTAGTAACGCCTAGTGTGAAGTCTCAAATGGAAGCTTTCGCTCTGGCACTCAGTCAAAGGCAACCTGTGCTGCTAGAAGGTCCTTTAGGATCAGGAAAGTCTAGCTTGTTTCGAGAATTTGCAGGTTTAACGGGAAATACAGGTTCGATCTTATATTTCTTTCACTCGTGTGCTGATTTTTGCTTGTCCAGATGTTTTATTCATTCACCTTGACGATCAACTGGATACCAAAACGCTATTTGGCAATTACGTTTGTACCGAAGTTCCAGGAGAGTTCAAGTGGCAGCCGGGTACACTTACTCAGGTTGGCCCTTCCTTTTCTTTCGTGAGCATATTTTAAATCTGCATTGCAGGCTATTGAAAAAGGCTTGTGGGTTGTTTTTGAGGACGTTGACAAAGCTCCTTCCGATCTCTTTTCTTCGCTTGTATCTTTATTAGAGGATCGAAAGCTCCAAATTCCCGGTCGAGGAGAGGTACGCTAGCACATGTTGGTGTATTGTAGCACTACAGCTGCTTTTCAGGTGGTCTATGCTGCAGAGAACTTCCGTCTGTTTGCTACGGTTTGCCGAATGCAATTTGGTACCACATGGAAGTCTGGGGAAGGTTCGGACTATATACTAAACGCTCTCGTAATTGAGGTGCTTTTATAGGCCGGGACTCGTTTACCTACTTGTGGCGGAAAATTATAATCGAGGTGCCTTCGGATGTGGAGCTGTCAACTATAATCAAGGAGAGATTTCCAGGACTGTGCTCCCTAGTCCCAAAACTGATTGGTATCTTGTCTCTAAGCTAACTTACTTTTAATTTCTGATAAGTGTTATGCAGGCACGCTTAACATAGTAAAGGGTACAGTGGCACAAGGTGGCGCCACTGCTCACGTTAGTCGGCATTTTTCTACGAGGTAAGACTGTACGATTTCAAGTTTTTCTGCCCGAATAATGGTTAATTACTTTCAGGGACCTTTTGAAATTTTGTAATCGAGTGTGTGCACTGGTCCCTCGGGTATCTGAAAGCTTGATCCTAGATGAGACAGTACGAGACCACATATATTTGGAGGTACTAAATCGCCTCTCACATTGAGAATCCTAAATTGGCCAATGCAGGCTGTAGACTGTTTTGCTGCAGCTGTTGGGGATACTGTCGATCGGCAACTTGTGATGAGATGCATTGCTGAACATTGGAACGTTCCTCTGGAACGTGTGGAATATTACAGCCAGTTGTTTAAGCCTCTGTGTCAGGTAATACTCAATAATAGTCGAGGTTGGGCTAATGTTCCTTCCGCAGGAGCTGCGTTCTGCGCTACAAATTGGCCGTGTTGTCTTGCCATTACAATCACGAGCGGTAAATCTAGATTGGATTCATTTCTCTTTTGAGATTTACAACGATAGTTTTCAGGCGAAAGGGTCATACAACACGGTCTTCGCTGATACTGCTCAAACAATGAGGCTACTAGAACGGATAGCCCGTTGCGTTGAACAGAATGAAGCTGTGCTTCTTGTTGGAGAGACGGGAACTGGCAAAACGACTCTTGTACAGAGATTGGCGTGGCACATGTCAGCTCCTTTGACTGTTGTGGTACGTATTAGAGCTCCTATGTTTGCATTAATTTGGCTGGTGTTGGTTTTAGAATCTAAGCCAGCAAAGCGACGCAGCCGATTTACTGGGAGGTTTCAAGCCGGTAGAAGCGCAAAGTGTTTGTCTGCCTCTAGTGGAAACATTCAATGAAATTTTTACGGCCACGTTCTCTCTTCAGGTCGTATTTAGTTTTCTCTGTTTGTTTGGGCCATTTCTCACATTTAGTTACAGAAGAACAAGGACTTTTGGACAACAGTTCAACAGTATGTGGAGAAAAAAAGATGGGTGCTGCTTCTCAAGGCTTTTCGCATTGCTATTACAAAAGTTGGGAACCTGGTGGGTGAAAACTCAGAGGAATCGACTCCAAAAAAAGCAAAGAGACAAAAGCCAGTCAGCCAGAATCTTCTCGATAGGTGGCGGGCTTTCTCAGTTGAGCTCAGTAAGACCGAGAAGCAGGTGGAAGCCTCAAAAAGTGCCTTTGCGTTCTCTTTCGTCGAAGGTGTTCTTGTCAAGGCACTGAAGAACGGTACCTGGCTACTCCTTGACGAGATAAACCTTGCACCAGTTGAGATATTGGAGAGGCTGAATGGAATTTTCGACGGAGGAGGTGGATCAGTCTGCCTCACAGAGCGCGGTGACTTAGAGATTGTGCAGCGGCATCCCAACTTTCGGATATTTGCCTGCATGAATCCTGCGACCGACGTTGGGAAGCGAGAGTTGCCCGTACTGCTCAGGAATAGGCTTACAGAGCTTTACGTTGACGAGATGTGCGGCAAAGAAGACTTGGAGGCACTGGTTGCCAAATACTTGGAAGGCTCCATGCGTTCTCCGGAAAACATCGTCAACTTTTTCTTAAAAGCCCGGGAAGAAGCAGAGAAGCGGCTGCGCGATGGTGCTGGGCATAAACCTCAGTACAGTTTACGGTCACTTTCCCGGGCGCTCGAATTTACAAGGCATGCTATGCCTGTCTATGGGTTTGATCGGGCCTTGTACGACGGGGTTTGTATGTCGTTCCTGACCCTCTTGGATCAGTCGAGTGCTCCGATCATGGAAGAACTCATTCAGCGAGTTCTCTACAATCAGTCCGGGAAATCAACGAGCTTTTCGAAGTCCCTTATGAAGGCTCCGGCACAACCAAGTCCAGACCACATTTTGTTCGAACAGTTCTGGGTGCAGCGTGGATGTGAGAGCCAAACGGATGCTGATACGGCCTTCTGCAAGCGCTACGTCTTGACCAAGAGTATAAAGGAGCATCTGAAAAATATTGCGCGGGCGGTTTTCATTCGGAAATATCCGGTGCTGCTACAGGGACCAACTTCGAGTGGGAAAACAAGTCTAGTACGATATCTTGCAGCCGTCACAGGACACAAGTTCTTACGGATCAACAACCATGAGCACACAGACCTGCAAGAGTACCTGGGTGCTTATGTTTCAGATCATACTGGAAAGCTGGTTTTCCAGGAAGGACCACTGGTGGAAGCTGTTAGGAATGGCTATTGGATCGTGCTGGACGAGTTGAACTTGGCTCCATCAGATGTGTTAGAAGCTCTGAACCGGCTTCTGGACGACAACAGGGAGCTTTTCGTTCCCGAGCTCCAGGTGTCTGTGAAACCTCATCCGCATTTCATGCTCTTTGCAACACAAAATCCTCCCGGTATTTATGGAGGAAGAAAGGCACTTTCTCGTGCATTTCGCAACAGATTTATTGAGCTCCATGTCGACGACATCCCAGCGGGCGAGCTTGTTACGATACTTGAGAAGAGATGCGACGTGGCTGCAAGCTATGCCGGGAAGATGGTGGAAGTCATGAAAGATTTGCAGCGGCAACGACAGGGTAGTAAGGTGTTTGCTGGGAAGCACGGCTACATAACTCCACGAGATCTCTTTCGTTGGGCTGAACGACATCGTCAGAGTGGCATCTCATACGAAGATCTTGCTTGGAACGGCTACGTTCTGCTCGCAGAAAGAATTCGGGATTCAAAAGAAAAGGTGGTAGTGCAGACAAGTTTGGAGAAGCAATTACGAGTGAAGATAAATCCTGACAGAGTTCACGAGGTACTTCCTTTTACGTACTTTCTCACTCAGACAGTCTGTGTTGTAGTTTACTGGAGCTTCGAGCGTACAACAAACTCAAGATGGCAAAGCCGCAGGCTTAGGAAGGTATCGATCGTCATTGTAGTGTCGTTCTTCGCCTTCAACGTGTGAAATTCTTACAGAATCGTCTGGATGAAAAGCATGCGGCGATTGTACTATCTCACGCAGCAGTGCAACGAGCATAATGAACCTCTTCTCCTCGTCGGTGAA